ATCATGCACTGCTTTCACCTTGTCAGGAACAGTTCGCACACCCTGATCACTTACAATGTGGTCTAAGTAAAGCACCTCTTTCTGGAACAAGTGGCATTTCTTGGGATGGAGTTTGAGCTTTGCTGATTTCAAACGCTTGAATACTTCCTCTAGCCGGGACATTTCCTCATCAAAAGTTGTTGCAAATACAATGACATCGTCCAGGTACAGTAGGGCTATCCTCCACTGTAGGCCTTCCAATACTCATTCCAGCAGCCTCTCAAATGTTGCTGGAGCATTACTGAGCCCAAATGGCATCACTCGGTATTGCCAGAGACCTTTGCCATAACTAAATGCTATCATCAATTCTTGGCAGTGGGTATGAGTCTTTTTCGGTTATGCTGTTAAGAGCCCTGAAGTCCACACAGCAACGTTGGGTCCCATCCTTCTTCTTGACTAATATGACAGGAGCTGACCAGGGACTATCTGATTTTTCAACTATCCCTTCCTTGATTAGACCATCCAGGACTTTCTCTATCTCTTGTCGCTTTGCTGGAGCTATTCTCCTTCGAGAGATCTTTATTGGACGTTGATTGCCTGTGTTTATTCTGTGCTCTACCAAGTTTGGGCATCCGAGGTCATGATTTCCTTTTGAAAAGACGTCAGCATAATTTGCCAAAAGTTCTTTTACCTGAAGAGCCTGTGATGATGACCAATGGACTATGCTCTTCTTATAGAGGTCAGTCAAATATTCCGGAAGTGTATGTCCTTTCTTCACAATTGCATTCCTTGCTTTAACATTGACTGGCTCTACCTCCTGGCACACACCCAACAATGCCCCTTCCTTAAGTGTCTGCTCATATTCAGAGAAATTGGCCACTGTTGTAGGTACTACTTGACGACCTGCTACAAGTGACCTTCCTATCTTCAAATCTGCTGGTCTGGATGGGTCTTCCACTGCTTCTACAAGCACTGGGCTTCTATGGGGATGTTCTTTTATCCTTCCCCAAATTATCTTCTCTGACATAGGGAGTATTGTAGTTGATTTAAGTGCTGTGACATGCAAATCAAGGGATGTAGCAACACTTATTGGAGTCTGGACTTTGTTGTTTCCAATCGTCATTTTATCGAAGTTAACTACACACTTCCTCGGTAGTAGATAGTCCAATCCTAATATGCATTGGTCTTCAATGTCAGCCAAGTATACTTTCTGTCTGTTTTTCATGCCCATCAGCTCGATGGTTACCCACACTGGTCCCCACAGCCTTGAATAATGTCCTGTCACACCACAGAGCTTCTGTTTGGCTTCTGGTACTCTTTTGTGATCTAGCACCTTGATACTCACAAGGGTTTGCTGAGATGCAGAATCTATGACAAACTTGCACTTTTGGCCATCCAGCTTTCCTGTCACGTAGACACTATGTGTGCTCGCCATTTTACACTTAGCTGATAGGACTTTCACAATGGGGGTTGGTGGGCGTCCCTCAACACCAACACTACTGGTTTTCCGAAGCTGACATATTGGTAGTATTCTTCTTACACTGTCTCTTCATATGTCCTTGCTCTCCACAGTTCCAACAACCTTTCTGGGTAGCAGCCTTTCCTGCCATGGCATCTTCCCTGTGTTGAAGTTGCCGGCATTGAGCTCTCTTGTGCCTCGGTTTGTTACAGTGCCAGCAAAGTCCCTCAAACAACTCTGAAAGCTGACCTTTTCTGGCCTTGAATCCTGACGACTGTACCAACCTTGGTACCTCTGTGCTGGACTTAACGTAGGATTCAAATTCGAGAGCTCTGGCCATTGCATCATGCATAGTAGAGGGATATGCTTGCTTTCCTTGTATCTTCAGTTGTGGACTGTCCAAGGCATCTACAAACTGATTCTTCAGCAACAGCTTGAGGACATTGGGAGGTGCAGTTGGGTAGGCCTTGTGTGCCATACTTTAAAAATCCTGTGCCAGCTCTTGCAGGCTCTCCCCCTTAGCACAGATTCTAGTCCTGAACCTAGCCCTGTAGACTTTGGACTGATTTTGAGTTCGATACCTGAGTTATAGAGCAGCTACCAGTGCTCTATAGTTGTACCTGTCGTCTGCTGACAACTGTCCAAGTATTTCCAGTGGTTGTCCCTTCAGGCTCTTTGCCAGGTACACAGCTTTCTGTTCCTCTGTCCATCCATTAATTTCTGCCAGTAGCTCAAATTGTGCTCTTTATGCTTCCCACGGTGCCTTCCCATCGAATACCTGTAGCTTCCTTCGTACTAGATGACCCCTGTTGCTGACATTCATATTTGGGATGTGACTTCTAACAGGAATGAAGATGTCTGCATTACTGATTAAGTCGATGGTTAATGTATCCTCCTTGTGTAAAAGACAGTAAATCATTCTTTAATGTATTTAATTCGCTTTGAAATTTACTAATCTTTTCCATTTGTATTTCTTGTTTCCTTTCTTGTTCCAGTTGCCACTGTTGCTGCTTTTCTTGCCACTGTTGTAGTCTGTCTTCTTGTTCATTTTCTTTCTCCTCCAACAACTGCTGTAATCTCTCTCGTTCATCTTGCAGTTCGAGCTGCCACTGCTGCTGTCTCTCTTCTTGTTTCTTTTCTGTTTCCTCCAACAACTGCTGTAATCTCTCTTCTTGTTTATTTTCTCGTTCTTCTTGTTTCTTTTGCTCTTCTTGTATTGCTGCCATCAAATCTGTTAAGTCGTAGTTTGATTTGCCACTTCTCATTTTCATCTCTTTTTTTTTTCTTTTGCATCCCACTCTCTGACACCAATTCGTTACATTTCTCAGAGATGAAATGTCCCTTTCCTAAAAATCCTGAAAATAACCGAAGCCAAGTAAGCCTTTTAGTACTTAAAATTCACTTGAACAAGTTACCCCATTTTTCTTATATCAATGATTATCAAATACATGCGAGAAATATCAAATCTGATTCCCCTAGTTAATGGATAATTTTCAAGAGTGCATTCTTTGGAAT